CGGTCTCGTAATGGGGTGGCTGATTTTTTGTTTGCTCGATGACTGATAGAACGCTTCCTCGACGGTAACATGTGCAAAAAATTGTTGTAAAGGATTACCGGTAGCCTTTTCCATGGTCTCCTCTAGGTGGCCTCGGTATACCTCTTACCTTCCTTCTGGGACTTTCTAGGCCACTTGCAGAGCGTTCTTGGTTCTTTCAACGCAAATTGATAAAGAATTTAGTCTTTAATCGTTTGTTTTAGAATCTCCTTAAGAGAGTGCCATGCAAAAACGGCTGTATAGTATGGGTATTCCATTGCCATAACGAACAAAACACGAAAAACTCCCCAACTTCGCCGGCCAAGCACCTGAGAATCACAAACTGTGCGGCAATGGACCACTCAATTAAGTTCAATCGAGACTAATTATTCGTTTAATTGATCTCGATCAAAACAACAAATCATTTCGCACGTAGGCGCTAAATGAGAAGTGAGTGCTTAACAAAAAGTTCGGTATGAATCCGCCACCGCGAACAATACGATACAATTGGGTGAGTTTTTTCTTTAAAAATTTTAATTTGGGCATATTTCGCAATAATTGACCCATTACAAGATATACAGGGCAAGTCAATTCTAAAATGCCATTTTTTGAGACTATTGGTGAATTAAATGGGCCTTTAGGAGCCTTTAAGGACACATGAAGTAACTTGAGGCTCTTCAAGGTTCGGATTCTGTACACTCTAGAAGACTAAGGCTTTAAAATACTAATTCCCTGAAATCTCTTGGAGAGATCTCTTAGAGAGACTATCCTAACATTTGTAAGATTCCTAAAAATTCTAAGAATCCTAAAGATCATAAGAATATTAACAATTCTAAAAATCCAAAGAACCCTAAGAATTATGAAATGCTTAAGAATCCTAGGAACCTTAAGAATCTTGTAAAAATCTAGGAAATTCTAAAGATCTTAAACTTTACAAGAATCTAAGAGTCCTAAGAACCACCAGAATTGCAAGAATTTTGAGGAGCTTAAGAACCCTAAAAGTAGGAACATTAATAAAATTCTAATAATCCTAAAATAAGCTGGAATTTTAAGAATTTAAAAATCTTAAAAATCCCGATTTCCAAGAATTCCAGAAATTATGCAAATCCTAAGCTTACTAGGAATCTTATAAATCCTAATGATTTGAAAGATTATTGCTATACGAGTACAATGGACCTTAATAATTCTAATGAACTTAAAGATTCTAAGAATCCTGAAATTCCTATGGATTCTATGGATGGGGCACTTAATGCTTAAGTTTTTACACAAGTGTAGAATATGAAAATTTCGGAATATCAGGAGAGGAGGGATTGTATACCGAGATCAGGCTCTTGCGTGAGATTTCTCCGGGGAGCGAACTTCGCCAAGAAGTAATTTGTAAGATCGAATTTTTTTGAGGAGTGATAGATTTGAGGACAATTTCGTTTGGAGAGAATTCGAAGAACCCTAGGAATCTTAAGAGTCCATTGAATAATAAAAATTTTGCAATTTCTAAGATTCCTAAAAATCGCAAGGGTCATATGAAGATTACCAATTCTAAATGAAAAAAGCTTAAGAATCCTAGAAACTGTAAGAATCTTTATGAATCTAAGAAATCCTAAACATCCGACGTCGAATTTTGTGAGGAGTGATAGATCTGATGGCAATTTCACTTGGAGAGTATTCGAAGAACCCTAGGAATCTTTAGGAGTCTAAGAATAATAAACATTCTGTAATTTTTAAGATTCCTAAAAATCCTAAATATTATACGAATATTAACAATTCTAAAACCCCAAAGAGCCTCACGAACTATAAAAAGCTTGAGAATACTAGGAACCTTAAGAATCTTCTTAGAAATTTAGCAATCTTAAAGATCTTAAGCTTTAAAGAATCTAGGAGTCCTACGAACTCAAAGAATTGCAAAAATCTTGAGGAGCCTAAGAAGATTGAGAACGTTAAGAGTATTAAGGGTACTAAAGGCCTAAACAAGTTAAGAGAGAATTATAAAAATCCTAGCAACCTTAATACAATTCTAATAATCCTAAAAAAGGCTGGAATTGCTAGAATCTTTAAAATGTAAGAATCTAAAAAATCCGGATTCCCAAAAATTTGAGAAATCAGATATAGCTGTACAATGGGTTTTAATAATGCTAAAGAACTTAATCATTCTAAAAATCTTGAAAATCTTATGAATTTAGAGAAGTAAATAGTGCAAAGTACCTAGAGAAGTGTAGGCTATGAAAATGAGAAAATGGAAATCAGGAGAGGATCGGGCTCTTGGGTGAGACTTTTCCGGGGAGCGAGCTTCTCCGAGGAGAGTTTGTAAGGTCGAATTGTTTGAGGAACGATAGATCCGTAAGAGTTCTTAGAATAATAAACATCCTAACATTTCTGAGATTCCTAAAAATTCTAAAAATCCTAAAGATAATAAGAATTCGAAAAATCCGGACTAGTCAGAATTATGAAAAACTTAAGAATCCTCTAAGAACCTGAATAATTACAAAAATCATGAGAACCCTCAGAAGTTTAAGAACCCTAAGAGTCTTAAGGGTAGTAAAGGTTCTCGTAAGAATTCTAAAAATCCTAGGAATCTTAATAAACTCCTAAAAATCCTACAAACGCTGGAATTGTTAAAATCTTAAGAATTTAAAAATTATAAAAACCCCAAAATCCTCAATAATTCCAGGAATCATTGAAATCCTAAGCTTATTAAGAAATCAAGAATTATGAAAATCTGAAAAATCATAATCATTCTAAGGAGCATAGTTATATAATGGATCTTAAGAATTCTAACGATCTTAATAAACACTGAAAATCCTGAAAATCCTATGAATTTGGAGAAGCATGTAGAGAAGTGTAGAATATGAAAATTCCGGATCGAATTTTATGAAAAGCGATAGATCTACGGGCAATTTGACTTGGAGGATATTCTAAGAACCCTAAGAATCTTAGGAGTCTAAGAATAATAACAATTCTTCAATTTATAAATTCCTAAAAATCCTAAATGTCATACGAATATTAACAATACTAAAATTCCAAAGAGTTTTAAGAACTATAAAAACCTTAAGAATTTTAGGAACCTTAAGAATCTTCTAAGAATCTAGCAAATCCTAAAGCTCTTAAGCGAGAAAAAAACCAGAAGTCCTAAGAACTCCCAGAATTGCAAAAATCTTGAAGATCCTAAGAACCTTAAGAACCGTAAGAGGATTAAGGGTACTAAGGCCCTAAAAATCTTAAGAGAGAATTTTACAAACCCTAGGAACCTTAATAAAATTCTAATAATCCTAGGAAACACTGTAATTGTTAAAATTTTTAGAATGCAAAAATCTTAAAAATCCCGATTGCCAAGAATTCCAGAAATCATAGAAATCCTAAGCTTACTAGGAATCTTACAAATCCTAATGACTTTTATGAAAGAGATTGTACGAGATACAAAGAATCTTTTCTAATAATTCTGAAAATTCTATGAAATTAGAGAAGCAAATAATACAAAGCACCCAGAGAAGAGTAGGACATAAACATTCCTAAAAATCAGGACAGCAGAGATTATCACCGGGATCAGGCTCTTGCGAGAGAATTCTCCGGGGATTTCGCATCCCCGAGGAGAATTTGTAAGAATTTTTGAAGTGGATCTGGGGACAACTTCTTAGAGAATTTGAATTACCTTAGTAATCTAGAGAGTTCAAAAAATAATAAAGATCTTAACATTTATAAGATACCAAAAAATCCGAAGAATCCTAAGGATCATAATATTCACAATTCAAAAAATTCAAAGAGCCCTAAGAATTATGAAAAGCTTAACAATCCTAGGAACCTTAAAAATCTTATAAGAATCTAGGATATCCCAAGATCTTAAGCTTTAAAAAATTCAGGAGCCCTAAGAACTCCAAAAATTGCAAAAATCTTGAGGAGGCTAGGAAGCCTAAGAACCCTAAAAGTATTAAGGGTACTAAGGCCCAAAAAACCTTAATAGAGAATTCTAAAAGTTAAAGAAATTTCAAGATTCGAAAGCACCGTTAAGAATGTAAGGAACTTGAAGACCTAAAGAATCTGATCAAAGGATATAAAACGTGCAAAAGATCCGTAGAATTTGAAAGATCCAGAAGACGTTAACCATTTTTAAAGGATCTGAAAGATGAAGAAGAATTTAAAAATCCCAAGATTCTTAAGAATTCCCGGAATCATAGAACTACTAAGCTTACTAGAATCCTAGGAATTTTAGGGTAAACGTCATAGCTATATAATGAATCTTAAAAATTCTAATGATCTCAATAATTCTAGGAAGTCTGAAGATCCTATGGTTTTGGAAAATTCGTGGAGAATCAGGAGAACTTAATGAATTAGATAATGTGGCCGATTTAAAGAACTGATAATCAAGGGAAGAATGCGTAAGATGTCAAGATAGTAAAACACGTAAAGGCCTAAAGGATCTGATGAAAAGGTATGAAACGTGGAAAAGATCCAAAAGAATTTGGAAGGATACCTGAAAGATCTGATGAATCTGAAGAATTTGAAAGATTTGAAGGATCTAAAGAATCTGAAAGATCTGGAACGTGGAAGTATCTAAAAGACACCAGCTCCTAGGTGTCTGAATGGGAAGGGTTTGGGGTAACTAAAAAAGGTGCGCCAGTAAAGATCTCGTTTGGACCATTTATTTGGAGGCTTAGTTTGCTAGGAGGGCCTAAAGGTAGAGAACTTGGTAAAAAGCTTCATCCTCTGATCAATAACTGTTTACTTTTGCCCAAGAGTTCTTGGGGGATGATTTCCCTGGTGCCTTAAATACCGAGAAAATGTAAATTAAGCTCGTAGTGCTAGTGTCAACACTCCTATATCAAATAATCGCCTTTATCTCGATTGTGGGTAAATTTCGGCAGGCGCACGTAAACTATGCGTCATCCCAATCACCATATCTAAGTACCCGTTACACTTGATGGCGAAGAAACTGATGGAAAAACCTTGATACGTAATGGCGCCGCTGTTTTAACGTAGTGGGACGTGAACATCTTTACAGTACCTACCTATTTGTAAATGCACACTTGTAGATAAACTATGCGCGATAATGTCACGTTTACCTTCATAAAGTTTACTTACACGTATTGGCCTAATTAGTTTTTAATTGTGTTGGAAGTGATTAGGATGAACTCGACGAACTCCACCGAAAATATTATCGAAGTACGTAAGTGACTTTATATTAGGTCCCTAATAACACCTTAAACTAAAGGATTTGTTTTTGAAATTGTTGCTTACGTGAATGGGAAAACCGCATTGACGTAGGTATAATAACTTTCTCCTTGCAACTTTGATTCGGTCATCGAAAGGAGAGCGTCTTTTTTAATTACTTATTCAAATTGTTCCGCTCGGAATTGTACCTCAATAGCTGTCAGTCACAGCCCCTAATTAATGATCAGTACCAATTTTTCTGTTGGTGGTCATTCAGGCCAGAAGCTCATTTAATCTCTTCCAAAAGAAATCGGAATCTGAAGAAGTCATTCATACAGGCACCATATCCCCAAATGGTCAACCTCAATGTTTTGCTGCTGACTCTCCGAAACGATACTCAAAGAATCCTCTTGTCATGACTCATTTCTTTTTCTTATCATTATTACTGAATATTCTTCTTCTTGTTGATTGTTCCTAAAAATCGTTACTACTCTAATACTTCGGACCCTTTAGGTCCTTCAAGTTTTTAGATCATTCAATTCCTTCGCTTCTTTCACTTTCATCATTTCCTTCGCTTCCTTCGCTTTCCTCGCTTCCCTCGCTTCCTTCAGATTTTCATCAATCGCTCAAATTCGTCAAATCCCTTAAATCTTTCTCATCCCTCAGATCCTTCCGATCTCTCAGATCCTTCAGACCCCTCAGATGCGTTAGATTCCTCATATCCCTCAGATCCCTCAGATTTCTCTGATTCCTCAGATCGCTCAGTTGCCTCAAATCACTCTGATCCCTGTGATCCTTCAGATCCCTCAGATCCTTCAGATCCCTCAGATCCTTCAGATCCCTCAGATCCTTCAGATCCCTCAGATCCTTCAGATCCCTCAGATCCTTCAGATCCTTCAGATCCTTCAGATCCTTCAGATCCTTCAGATCCTTCAGATCCTTCAGATCCTTCAGATCCTTCAGATCCTTCAGATACTTCAGATGCTTCAGATGCTTCAGATGCTTCAGATGCTTCAGATGCTTCAGTCCCCTCAGACCCCGCAGATGTCACAGCTTCTTCGGCGTCTTCGGCTTTTTTTATATTCTTCGGCTTCTTCGGCTTCCTCAGCTTCTTCATCAGCCTTTTCAACTTCTTCCGCTTTTTTAGTTTCTTCGGTTTCTTCAACTTCTCCAGCTTCTTCATCAGTTTCTTCGGCTTCTGCAGCTTCTTCGGCTTCTTCGGCTTCCTCAGCTTCTTCATCAGCTTTTTCAACTTCTTCGACTTCTTCCGCTTTTTTGGTTTCTTCGGCTTCTTCAGCTTTTTCATGAGCTCCTTCGGCTTCTTCGGCTTCTTCAGCTCCTTGAGCTTCTTCAGCTTCTTCAGCTCCTTAAGTTTCTTCAGCTTCTTCGACTTCTCTGGCTTCTTCGACCTCTTCTGCTTCTTCGGCTTCCTCCGCTTCTTCGGCTCTTGCAAACTTTCCGGGATCTTTCAGATTCTTTAAAACCTTCAGATCCATCGGATCTCTCACATCCTGCAGATCCCTCATATGCTTTAGGTCCCTTAGATCCTTCATATCCCTCAGATTCTTCAAATCCCTCTGATCCCTCAGATCCTTCAAATCCTTCAGATCCCTCAGATCCTTCAGACCCCGCAGATGTCACAGCTTCTTTGGCTTCTTCGGCTTCTTCGGCGTCTTCGGCTTTTTTCGTATTCTTCGGTTTCTTCGGTTTCCTCAGCTTCTTCATCAGCCTTTTCAACTTCTTCCGCTTTTTTGGTTTCTTCGGTTTCTTCAACTTCTCCAGCTTCTTCATCAGCGTCTTCGGCTTCTGCAGCTTCTTCAACTTCTCCAGCTTCTTCATCAGCGTCTTCGGCTTCTGCAGCTTCTTCAACTTCTCCAGCTTCTTCATCAGCGTCTTCGGCTTCTGCAGCTTCTTCAGCTTCTTCCGCTTCTTCAGCTTTTTCAGCTTCTTCAGCTTCTTCGGCTTCTTCGACTTCTTCGGCTTCTTCGGCTTCTTCGGCTTCTTCGGCTTCTTCGGCTTCTTCGGCTTCTTCCGCTTCTTCGGCTTCTTCCGCTTCTTCCGCTTCTTCAGCTTCTTCAGCTTCTTCAGCTTCTTCAGCTTCTTGCAGCTTCTTCGCTTCTCTCAGCTATCTTCAGCTCTTACAGCTTCTTTCTTTATCGCTTCTTCAGCTTCTTCAGCTTTTTCAAAGCTTTCAGCTCCTTACAGCTTTCTCAGCTTCTTCTGGCTTCTTCTTTTCGCTTCTTCACTCTTTCAGCTCTTCAGCTTCTTCAGTCTTCTTCAGCTTCTTCAGCTCTCAGCTTCTTTCAGCTTTCAGCTTCTCAGCTTCTTTCAGACTTTCTCAGCTTCTTAGCTCTTCGCTTCTCTTTTCAGCTTCTTCAAGCTTCTTCAGCTTCTTCAGACTTTCAGCTTCTTTTCAGCTTTTTCAGCCTTTTCAGCTTCTTCACTTCTTCTCTTCTTTCAGCTTCTTTTCAGCTTTTCCACTTTCAGCTTCTTCAGCTTCTTTCAGCGCTTCTTTTCAGCCTTTTCAGCTTCTTCAGCTTCTTCAGTTTCTTCAAGCTTCTATCAGCTTCTTCAGCTGTCTCAGCTTCTTCAGCTTCTTCCAGCTTCTTTTCAGCTTCTCAAGCTCTTCAGCTTCTTCCTTCTTCAGCTTCTTCAGCTTCTATCAGTTCTTCGCTTCTTCAGCTTTTCAGCTTTCGCAGCTTCTCGCTTCTTCAACTTCTTCAGTTCTTTCAGCTTTCTTCGCTTCTTACAGCTTCTTCAGCTTCTTCAGACTTTTCAGCTTCTTCGCTTCTTTCAGCTTCTTAGCTTCTACATCAGCTTCTTCAGCGTTCTTCAGCTTCTTCAGCTTCTTTCGTTTACAGCTTCTTCAGCTTCTCGACTTCTCAGCTTTCTTCAGCTTTTCAGCTTCTTCAGCTTCTTCTGCTTCTTCAGCTTCTTCAGCTTCTTCAGCTTCTTCAGCTTCTTCAGCTTCTTCAGCTTCTTCAGCTTCTTCAGCTTCTTCAGCTTCTTCAGCTTCTTCGACTTCTCTGGCTTCTTCGACTTCTCTGGCTTCTTCGACTTCTCTGGCTTCTTCGACTTCTTCCGCTTCTTCGGCTTCTTCCGCTTCTTCAGTTTCTTGGGTGTCTTCGGCTCCTTCTGCTTCTTCAGCTTCTTGCGCTTCTTCGGCTCTTGCAGACTTTCCACGATGCTTCAGATTCTTTAAATCCTTCAGATCCTTCTCATTCCTCAGATCCTCCAGATCCCTCATATGCTTTAGGTCCCTTAGATCCCTCATATCCCTCAGATTCTTCAGATCCCTCAGATCCCTCAAATCCCTCAGATCCCTTAGATGCCTCTGATCTCTCAGATTTTTTAGATCCCTCAGATCCTTCAGTTCCTTCAGATCCGTCTGGTCCCTCTGATCCTTCAGATCCCTCACATTTTTCAGATCCTTCATATCCTTCAGATCCTTCAGATCCTTCAGATCCTTCAGATCCTTCAGATTCTTCAGATTCTTCGGACCCCTCACACTCCACAGCTTCGTTTAGTTTTTTCGACTTCTTCGGCATCTTCGGCTTCTTCAGCTTCTCCCTCTTCTTTATCAGCTTCTTTGGCTTCTTCCGCTTTTTTGGCTTCTTCGGCTTCTTCAGCTTCTCCAGCTTCTTCATCGGCTTCTTCATCAGCTTCTTCGGCTTCTTTAGCTACTTTAGCTTCATCAGTTTCCTCATCAGTCATCAGCTTCTTCGGCTTCTTCAGCTTCTCCAGCTTCTTCATCGGCTTCTTCATCAGCTTCTTCGGCTTCTTTAGCTACTTTAGCTTCATCAGTTTCCTCATCAGTCATCAGCTTCTTCGGCTTCTTCAGCTTCTCCAGCTTCTTCATCGGCTTCTTCATCAGCTTCTTCGGCTTCTTTAGCTACTTTAGCTTCATCAGTTTCCTCATCAGTCATCAGCTTCTTCGGCTTCTTCAGCTTCTCCAGCTTCTTCATCGGCTTCTTCATCAGCTTCTTCGGCTTCTTTAGCTACTTTAGCTTCATCAGTTTCCTCATCAGTCATCAGCTTCTTCGGCTTCTTCAGCTTCTCCAGCTTCTTCATCGGCTTCTTCATCAGCTTCTTCGGCTTCTTTAGCTACTTTAGCTTCATCAGTTTCCTCATCAGTCATCAGCTTCTTCGGCTTCTTTGGCTTCTTCGGCTTCTTCGGCTTCTTCGGATTCTCCAACTTTTTCATCAGCTTCTTCATCAGTTTCTTCATCAGCTTTTTCATCAGCTTCTTTATCACCTTCTTCATCAGCTTCGTCGGCTTCTTCAGCTTACTTCTTCATCAGCTTCTTCGGCTTCTTGGGTTTTTCGGCCTCTTCGGATTCTTCGGCTTCTTCGGCTTCTTCAGCTTCTTCAGCTTCATCAATTCTTCAATCAGCTTCTTCGGCTTATTCAGCTTCTTCGGATTTTTCGGCTTCTTCCGCTTCTTCGGCTTCTTCCGCTTCCACGATCATTCAGATTCTTACACCCTTTGGATCACTAAAGCTCTTTCTTCTTCCAGGAATTTCTCGGACTTTTAGGACTTCTCGGATCCATTAGGTTTTGTTTTCATTTATCAAATACTTCCGCGGATTCTTGGCAATCTCACTATTTCTTGGATTCCAAGGATATTCTTATGATTCTCGGAATTTTTCTCAGATCCTTCAGATCCTTCAAATCCTTCATATTCTTCAGATCCCTCAGACCCCACAGATCCCACACCTTCGTTCGGTTTTTTCGACTTCTTCGGCTTTTTCGGTTTCTTTGGTTTCTTCGACTTCTCCGGCTCCTTCGGCTTCTTCGGTTTCTCGGATTCTTCGGCTTCTTCCGCTTCTTCGGCTTCTTTAGTTTCTTCAACTTCTTCAGCTTCTTCGGCTTGTTCAGGCTTTTCAGATGTTCAGTATCTTTACACCCTTTGGATCACTAAAGCTCTTTCTTCTTCCAGGAATTCCTCGGACTTCCGCGGATATTTCTTGGATTTCAAAGATATTCTTATGATTCTTGGGATTTTTTGGACTATTTGGCTTATGCGGATTAATGGGATTCTTCGAATTAACAAAATTCTCCATTCAGATAAACCGGGTTTTTAGGATTTTTCAGATTCTTCAGATTTGTCGAATTCTTCGGATCTTTCGGATTCCATAGGCTCCTTAGGTGCTTCGAGCTTCTTTGTATTCACAGATTCTTAAAATTTTTCAGAAAACCTTTCTTGTATTCCTATTTTTGAGGTATTGTTTGGATTCTTAATACGCCTTGGGTTATTCAGATCCATGTGATCCTTCTGATTCTTTGAACTATTTGCATTCTTCAGATGCACCAGTACGGTACAGATCTGTTGGGTACCACAGACCATGGATATCCCTACAAACATTCCGTATATATAACTCCTTTGAGTTCTTCGAATTCTTTGGGTTCTTTGGATTCCTCGGATACCTCGCATTCTTTCGGAATTTTTCAAATCCTTCGGATCGTTCTCTTGGTGCTTCGTATTCTCGGATCCTTCAGATTCTTGGGACCCTTCGAACGCTGTGGATTCATCAGATGTTTCCGATTTTTTGGATCCCTTGGATTCCCTGCATTCCTTACATTCCTTGGACTCTTTGGATTCTGGGGATTCCTTGGTTTCATTGGTTTCCTTATATTTCTGGGATACTTTGGAGCCATTTGATTCTTGGGATTTGTTGGAATATTCGGATTTGTGCGAGTTAACCGGATTCTCCTGATTAAGCAATTTACCTGTGTTTAAAAAACCTTTGTTTGGCAACTCATTAAGATAACGAGTTATCTCTAAAAAAAAGTGTGCGTCCCTTTATCTAACTTACTGACATTTGTTTTAGCAAACCCGCGGACACCTATCGAACAGCGTTGAAATATTCGACAAGGAAATCGAGCCCGAAGAGAAACACCGAGTGTCGTCCGATGGACTATCTAGACTCCTCCAAAATTTGCAAAATGGCACCGGCGAAGTGGTTCGGAAAAACGAAAGGACTCTCAAGATTTGCCTGTACGTCATCTTGAACGTCGTCTTCGTGGGCTACTTTGCGTGGGCGACCCACTACTTTGTGAACTTCTCAAGTGAGTACATTGGCTTTGGGGAGGATGCCGAAACTCGGCGATGCTTGCAGGTGACAGTCTAGCGAGTACGACATGCACTGGTTATGGTCTGCTGATGATCATCTTCATCTTGGTTTACTTTATGGTCGCGTACTATCTGATTATAAAGCCCTTCCTGCTTCCCATCGTCATCGATGGCGTGGATGGGAAGCAGTTCTCAAAAATTTTTTCAAATCGGTGAGTATTTGTGCCCAAAGTCACCGACTTAGCCCCTCTCTGATTGCAGAGCCGTAAAGGCCACCTTCTACACTGTGATCTTCGTCGCAATCGGCGTATACCTAGGGTTTGATACCAGAGACAACCGGCGAAGATTGGTACCGCTGCTCGGACTACTCGTCTTCTTGGTTTTCGGTTTTCTGTTCTGCAAGCATCCCAGACACGTAAGTGGGAAACGTCTCCATAGGATTAACGGTCAAAATCGTTTAGATCAAGTGGAGACCTGTCTTTTGGGGCCTCATTCTGCAGTTTGGATTCGGCCTGCTTACGATCAGGTGGGATGTCGGGAGAAATATCTTCGACTGTCTGGGAAATAAGACCAGCAAGTTTTTGAGTTACGCCTCCAACGGTTCCGCGTTTGTCTATGGCGAATTTTTGGTTTACCGCGAGGCTGTCTTTGCGTTCCAGGTAAGTGATCACGTAATTTAGCGTTTTTCAAACCGGGGGGGGGGGGGGCAGACCTATGGGTAGCTGCCCAACATTCTATAATTTGAGGTAAAGATGTTACGTTTCGTGACCTTCTGATCCATCACCCGCTAACTCCACTTTTACTTCTGCCAGACCCATGATTTTTGTGTTGGGTGTGGGGGGGGGGCTATGTCAATGCATCGACATGGCGGAACACAGAAGATATAGAAAAACAAGATGAAGAGCAGAAGGGCCGAATAAAAGAAAACGAGAAAATTAGCAGTGGAGGCGACATAAAAAGAGAGCAGAAGAGGATCATCAGGAGGAGAGGAAGAGCAGACGTGTAAACAGAATGAGAAAAAACCAGATGAGCTGCTTGAGTAGGGGGAAACGGGCAACGGAACAATGGAGGAAAGAAGTATTAGAAGAAAGCGGGTAGGTAGTTGAGTAAATGAGAAGAAGAGGAAACGAGGAGAGGAAAAGTATCAATGCAGGAAAATGATCCGATGACAAAGGACCACATTTCGAGCATAACTGGGATAGAGGTAGAGAATTATCTAAGTAGAGACAAAGGAAAGTAGAAGAGGAAAAGAATATCGGGTGTATAAACGTAATGCATAGAGGGCAAAAGGTGCAGAAGGGCAGATGTAGAGATAGAAGAGCGGTGCATAAATGGACAGAGGAAGAGAGAATATGCATACCTGGACAGTATGAGAAGAGGAAATGAAAAAAGGGTAAGGTATCAGGAGAGTTTGAAGAGCACACAAGCCTAGGACAGACGGTGGACGGGGGGTGGTGGAAAAATGCAGGAAAATGGAGGAGCAGTAAAAGAAACAGAAAAGCCATAGAGAAAGAAGAAAAATTACAAATGAACTAAAGACCAGAAGAAGAAAACGCCAAACATTGATCAGGGAACTGGCACATTCCAATAAAGGAGTAAAGAGGAAGTGAAATATTCGAGGAAGAAGAAGAGAACTAGAGCATACGTGGGAAAAAGAAGAGAATATCGATTATCTGATGTTCCTACATCCATAGGTCAAAGAGCAAGACAAAATATTAGATAGAGAAGGAAGGGCGAGAAACGGATGAAGAGATAAAAGACATAATATAAAGAAAAAGAGAGAAGAATATTAAGAAAATCAAAAGTCAAAGAGAAATACGGATCCAGTTTATTATAAGTGAGTGCCTGAACGGAAAAACACGAAATTACATAGTACAAGAAGAGATAGAAAAATAGAGAAAATAAAAATGCTTGCCAGGGATGAAGACAACTGGAAGCAGAGGGAGAAGATCTGGATTTCACGGAACGACCAGAAATTGATCAGGGGACAGACAAATATCAACAAGGATGCAAAGCGTAGGGGGAGTATAGAAAAAGCACAATGAAAGCAGACAACATCAGAAGCGTAAGAGAACATTGGATGAAATACAAAAGCAAAGACCAGAGTAAGAACAGCGAAGGGCCTATAACGAGTAGAGAACGTGCAAGCAAATAAAGAGAGCAAAGGAATGGTAGATATTATGGTATAGGAGTACAAGGGAAACAGATAAGACCAAAAGAGCCGAAAATAAAAATGAAAAAAGCTAAAGAGGAGGTAAGGAAAAACAAGGGCAGAAAAACAGGCGAGTGAAGAACGAAAAACGAGCCGAAAAGGCAAAATAGCAAACTACAAAAACCAAGAGAACAGAATAGGTTCCATGGATCGGCAACACGTAGGAGGAACAGGAGAGCAGCAGCGTACTAAAGAAAGGGCCTTAGAAGAATCAGACGAGAAAGGTATTGAAGGGGTGACCCAGCAATGAGCAGAAGACCCAGGAAAAGATCCAGATGATCAAGAAACCACATCGTAACCAGAGCATAAAGAAAGTAGAGGAGCAGAAGAAGAGCGAATATAGAGCAAGTGGCAAAAAGGAACGGTATAATATGGTGGCGTATAAGCGTTGAAACAACAGATCAAGGACCAGAGGATGCCATATCAAAATGGCGCAAGGGACAAGGAAGCGCCTAATCTAAAAGCTACAGGGCGAGTCTTAGAGGCAAAGACGATCATGATTACGTGCCAATAACACCTAAGGGACTGGCGCAATATCGAAAAGGCACCAAGGGCTAACATAGAAATCAAAAACAAGGATGACGGCGGATTAACCCTAAGAAGTAAGGGAGCTTTTAATAGGGATCTATGCTGCCTAAGTTATCCGAGAAACCTCCGCCTAGGAAGGAGGGGTAAAGGGTTGGCCCAAAAGTGTCCTGTGTGTGAGAAACTTCCGACCAAAAAAGGGCAACTTCCACAATTATGCGCTTATGGCACATAAGGGTCAATGCGATATTGAAATGGCCTAAAGGGCTAGTCTTCAAGAAGAAAGATATCCATTCTAACGCGCCACGGGTGATGCCGGGGGGGGGATCTTTATATGTAGGGAAAAGAACATTGAATCTTTCCTTTTAGTACGGAATACCCCCCTGCCAAGCGTCCGAAGGTTTTTATGGTTGTAGAGAAGAGGACATTGGACCTTTTCTCTTTTCCTGGGGGGTTTTCCATACCCACCAGACCTCCCGGTGCTACGATATCCCTCCAAACGTACAGTTCTAAGAACTCCCGTAATAGTTTTCTGTAAAAGACCATCGGATCTTGATTTCCTGACGAAAATTGCATACTTCACAGACTTTTGGGGAAAAATGGAAAACCGGGGGTTTGGGGGGTATGGAATACCCCCCAGTTAGACAAGCTTCCGGAGTTTTTGCTAGGTCCGTGGCAAAGAACATTGAATCTTTCCTTTTAGTACGGAATACCCCCCTGCCAAGCGTCCGAAGGTTTTTATGGTTGTAGAGAAAAGGACATTGAACCTTTTTTTTCCTGGGGGTTTTTCCATACATACCCACCAGGCTCTCCGGTGCTACGTTATCCCTCCAAACTTACAGCTCGACTTTCCTGACGAATATTGTAAAATGCAAAACTTGGAGATTGAATACCCCCCCTACCCAGGCAGTCAAGCGCCCGGAGATTTTCATAGATGTAAGGAAAAGACCATTGCATGTTTTATTTGCGTGTCTTCCCTTGCATTTTTTTTGCAATGCAGAGGTTTTTGTCCCGGAGAAGGTTTCCTTTGTTTCTCCTTTTATTATGTTATATTTTATTTGTTCTTGTCCTTTTACGCACAAAATTCTGGACTTTATTCAATTCCTTTCCGGACTATGTCTCACCTCCCAATGCTGGATGGCGCTGCTCACAATTATTTCTCCAGAGCTGTAGGTAAGTATGGGGTAACTCAAGGTTTCACTGCCGGCCTGGTGGACCTCTAAGATCATTACGTGTTTAGAACCTTTAATTGGGACTTAGTCTTCAAGAGTCCTGAGTAATGTTATGAAGTTTAAGCCTTGAACGGTTTTTGAGGGCTTTTATGGAGCTTTGTGATAGTTCTCTGGCACATAATATAGTATCTGAACCTTTAAGGTCCCTAACGCATTGTAAAGGTCTTTAAAAGTGGGAAACTTACATAAACCTGGCGCTAGCAGTTTCTTAGAGCTTCCACAATCCCTTTAAGGGCCTAGTAAATCTAAACTCGGATCTAGACCAGAGGACTACACAGGTTTAGTCTAGTTTTAATTGCACGGGTGGGGCAGAAATCGTTTGAAAGTTTGAGATCCGCTGACCGCTAAATTTATCTCCTCAGGCACTTTCCACGATATATTTCCTGGGATTTATAATCAACATCCTGTATCACTACGGAATCATGCAGAAGGCGATCGTGACCTTGGGGGAATTCCTGCAGGCTGTGATGGGTACCGCCATCTGCGAGAGCGTCAACAGCGCCGCCAACATTTTCCTCGGCATGGTAAGTTGATCGCCGACGCTCGGCTTCGGTGTGGGTAATAACCGCTCGCTTTGGTCAGAGCGAGGCGCCCTTGCTCCTGAAACCGTACCTAGAAGACCTAACCGTTTCCGAAATTCACGCAATTATGACAAGCGGTTTCGCAACAGTTTCCGGTACCTTTCCAATCGAACTACGTAACGGTACTACATTTTCCTTTCAGGTACTGTGCTCGCGGCTTACATCTCCTTTGGAGCGGAAGCCTCCCACTTAATCACGGCGAGCGTCATGTCCGCCCCGGCTGCGTTGTGCTACAGTAAGCTCACCTATCCGGAGACCGAAGAGGTTATCGCAACCAAGGAGTCTATTCAACTACTTAAATCGTAAGCGAGCACCAGGGTTCTTGAGTAGTAAACGGTTCGTTTCAGTGAGTACTCCTCCGCTTTGGACGCGGCAAGCAAAGGGGCGGCGATGGCGCTCGAGCTTGTCTTAGGAATTACTGCGAACCTCATCGCGTTCATCTCCCTCATTTTCTTCCTCAACGGAATTTTGTCCTGGCTGGGGTTTTTAGTAGGTAAGTTCCAACCCAAGCACCGCGGCTCCATAGTGCACTTAACGCCTAAGGCTACGACGGCGATAGCGTCTGGACAATCGAGCAGGCGGTCGGTTACGTATTCATGCCGATTAGCTTCATCATGGGCGTACCTTGGGACGAAAGCGAGATGGTCGGTAAGCTGATTGGAATTAAGACGGTGGTCAACGAGTTTGCCGCGTTCAAGGAGATGGGTAAAATGGTTCTGACGGTAAGTGAGTGCTTCGCGATCGATCACATTCAAAACCTGGACTTGCAGAAGCGGACCAAGATGATAGCGACCTATGCCATTTGCGGATTTTCCAATCCGGGATCGATCGGAATTATGATTTCGGCGCTGTCCGTTTTAATGCCGAAAAAGAGGAGTGCCATAACGTCGACGGTCTTTAGGGCCTTCATCGCCGGCGAAATTGTCTGCTTTATGACCGCGTGCATCGCGGCGTTGTTGATACCTGAAGATTCACTTTAAGAACCCTATATTTAATGCTTTTTTTTATATTAAAGTAGTTGACACCTTTGTTGATACTGATACACTATAATTGAACCCCCAAAAATCAGATTGATCTGATTTTGAACCCATCTCCGGGGGTCCGGGAAAAGCGGAGATGTTCTTAAAGAAGAGAGAAAGGTTGGGCAACAGTGGTCCCGGCCACCATCTGCCGAAATAACAAATCTCTTCGGCGCTTAGCGATACCTGGCTAGCCGTCTGTCAACCTCCCAGTGGTGTCTCAGCACGTCTAATGGAACACTGAGTTTGGTGAATGACAGTCAGGCGAACCAAATCCAAGGTGCAACAGTTGGCGCCAAGAACTGCATAGCGAAGGGAGAGCTAGGTCCCGGGGTCGCTAGTCAGCCAACTCTGCCCCCCCCCCCTCACCTTTCACTTGGCACTTAAATATAAAAACCACTCCAGCAATAATGGACGCAATCCAAATGAAGCTAGGGTCATGGGAGACCCAACAAAAGCCTCAGGGAGGCCAGCAAGCTCAAGGCGAGAAGGCCAGGAAAAGGGGCAAGGTAGTTCTGTCCTCAGATTGGAGCGCAGATAGCGCCCTCCAAAAATCTCGTCCCATCTATTCTACACCTCCAAAGAAAACCTTACAGGGCATCAAAGTAGTGATTTTCTCGACAGACCCTAATTAAGGTACCATCCCCGACAAAAAATTCAATGGGCTGTAACTTTTGATCTAGTAGCTCGATCTTGGAACTGTTTGAAATTATGGATTCTACAGGCCACATTCTATAAGAAAATATTTTTTTCCGGTCGATCAGAGACAATTTTTTTTTCGGGTCAAAAAAAAAGCAGTGTTATACCTTCCTTTTATACCAAAAATCGACTGCAATTTTGACAGCGCCAATCGATAGCGCTGGTCGAGACCTTTCCAACGAGGGGTCGGAACGCATATCTACGACGCACCGTTCTCGAGATATTACGGTATGTCAGAATTGTTGGTCGAAACTTCAAACCGTAATATCTCGAGAACGGTACGTCGTAGATATACCCCTCATTGGAAAGGTCTCGACCGGCGCTGTCAGAATTTCGACAAAAAATTCAAAGGACTGTAGCTTTTGATCTAGTAGCCCAATCTTGGAACTGTTTGAAATTATGGATTCTACAGGCCACATTCTATAAGAAAATATTTTTTTCCGGTCGATCTGAGACAATTTTTTTCTCTGGGCCAAAAAAAAGGCACTGTATAACCTTCCTTTTTTACCAAAAATCGACTGCACCAAAATTTCTCGGGGAAAAAACTGTTACTTATTAATTTTGGTGCGTAGAATCCAAAAGGATTCGTACTTTTTCGATTAGACGTCTCAATCAAAAGTCAAAAGAATTTTTTTTTGGCCCAAGAAACGCCAAGCCAAATTTCGTATTAAATCTTTTCCAATTTGGTATCAGTAGGTTATAATGTGCGAGTAGGTGTTTCAGCTCCTAATACACGAAGTGACAATCCTTGTAAAATTTTGTCTGGCTATCAGGAGAACATAATAGTCGAGGAGGTCTTTTCCCATTACCCACAAAAATATTTCGAAGCCAAATTTCGTTTTAAATCTTTTCCAATTTGGTGTCAGGAGGTTATAATGTGCGAGGAGGTATTTCAGCTCCTAATGCACGAAGTGCCAATCCGAAAATTCTTGTAAAATTTTGTCTGGCTACCAGGAGAACATAATAGTCGAGTAGGCCTTTTCCCATTACCCACAAAAATATTTCGAAGCCAAATTTCGTTTTAAATCTTTTCCAATTTGGTGGCAGGAGGTTATAATGTGCGAGGAGGTATTTCAGCTCCTAATGCACGAAGTGCCAATCAGAAAATTCTTGTACAATTTTGTCTGGCTACCAGGAGAACATAATAGTCGAGGAGGTCTTTTCCGGTCACCCACAAAAATATTTCGAAGCCAAATTTCGTTTTAAATATTTTCCAATTTCGTATCAGGAGGTTATAATGTGCAAGGAGCTATTTCAGCTCCTAATGCACGAAGTGCCAATCAGAAAATTCTTGTAAAATTTTGTCTGGCTACCAGGAGAACATAATAGTTGAGGAGGTCTTTTCCGGTCACCCACAAAATATTTCGAAGCCAAATTTCGTTTTAAATCTTTTCCAATTTGGTGTCAGGAGGTTATAATGTGCGAGGAGGTATTTCAGCTCCTAATGCACGAAATGCCAATCAGAAAATTCTTGTACAATTTTGTCTGGCTACCAGGAGAACATAATAGTCGAAGAGGTCTTTTCCGGTCACCCACAAAATATTTCGAAGCCAAATTTCGTTTTAAATATTTCCCAATTTCGTATCAGGAGGTTATAATCTGCGAGGAGGTATTTCAGCTCCTAATGCACGAAGTGCCAATCAGAAAATTCTTGTAAAATTTTGTCTGGCTACCAGGAGAACATAATAGTCGAGGAGGTCTTTTCCCATCACCCACAAAAATATTTCGAAGCCAAATTTCGTTTTAAATCATTTCCAATTTGCTATCAGGACGATATAATGTGCGAGGAGGTGTTTCAGCTCCTAATACACGAAGGGACAAACAGAAAATGCTTGTACAATTTTGTCTGACTACCAGGAGAACATAATAGTTGAGGAGGGTGGTGATCTCGAAGGTGTAGAAGAAAACAGTCATGTCGAAGGAGGTGTGAAAGAAGATGATATGGAAGAAAAGTATGTCGAAGGGGAGGTGGTTCAAAATCATAACTTGGAAGAGTGTGATGAGGACCTTATTCGTAACACGTAAATATTCGCTTACACAATAACCGTTGAGGAGTTTAGCTTTCATTAATTCCGATACCTCATCTTTCGATTTCTTCGGCAATTTGTACCTTGCGATTTTTTCAGATTCTCAATTATTTGGTTATGTCGTTCTTCCTGCTCCACTTATTCTGTCCTTTATTTGGACTTCTTTGAACTGCCACACCCTCAACTTTTGCTGATATTTTATCCGGGTCGTTTTCTTCTCTCCATTCCTTCTCGTCCAATAAACCAGTGGCGTAGAAAACGGAAATGATTTAATATATGCGCTAAGCGCAAATTATGCGCCTTTTTTGAGAGACGCCCCTGACCGAGGAACAAAGGGCGTCTTGGGAAAGATTCTGGGAGACCGTAGAAGAAATTCCCATCGCCTCTCGCCTACGAAAGATGATCTCAAGAAAGAAAAACCAGCCTAGAGAGAGGAGGGTATCAAAAAGCCCGTTCTGCCAATCAATTTAACTACGGTTTCAGTGGCCGTATATTCACACCGGGGCCCGCTGGGCAATAGGTTATTACAACCTTTATAAATAAGCCGGGAGAGATGGAATTCTCCCAATTCTCCTTATAAAAGGGACTGAGACATTAACGCCCATTCTAGTAGAACGGTTTAGGGGGAGTTATTCCCTAAGATATATCCCCAAAGACTGGTGGAAGGTAGATGTGGTTGTTATTCCTAAGGACCAACCCAAGAGCGACCGACCTATCAGACTATATCGCCCTTCATCCTTCAAACTATGGAGAGAGTAATAGGGCAATACATAAGGGAAGACTTCCCCTTCTCACCAACCAATAAGCATACCAAAGGGACGTTCTACAAAGACTCCCCTCATAACCTCATCTTGAGAGATAGCTTTAAAGAGGTTCGCAGAGATCACTGGGCTCAAGGGGCTAGTGGATGCGCCCATCTACTTCTGCTCGGACAGACTGGCAGTTCTCAAGGCCGGGTCCGTTAACTTGGCCCCCCCACTGAGAGATTTCATACTCGTATTATTTTGAAATGATTGCGCTCGTTATGCGCTCATATGCGCCACCGATAATAACTCTTGCGCCATTATCGTTTTTTAGAAATCCGAAAAAACATTTGGGGGGGGGCCAAGTGAACGTAGCCCCCCCCAGTACGTGTTTTGTTCCTTGTAACTAGGTCACCTGATACATTTGGTTATGCGCTCAATTGAGCCACTTGAATTAAAGCTAACGCCACTACGGTTAAGCCATAAAAAATTTTTAAAAAGGGGGGGGGCTAACTTAACGTTTTCAAAAGTTACGTTTTTTAACATGTTTTTTCTACTACATCGTACCTTTCATCATGCGCTAAAATGCGCCGTAAACAAAAATCCTGGCGCCATTATAGTGTTTCAGAAACACTATACAGGGTGTTTTTTTGGGAGCTTTAGTTAAACGATTCTGAGAAAGTAAAATAGGTAGGTTTTTAAAATTTGTATTTAGGAGTTACTCCGAAGGCCGAATCGATGTAAAATATTTTCAAAATGGACGCACTTCCGGAAATAACTTTTGAAAACGCTAAGTTAGACCCTCCACTTTTTAAAATTTTTTTATGACAATGGCGCTAGCTTTAATTCAAGTGGCGCAATTGAGCTCATAACCAGATGTATCAAGTGGCACAAATACCGGTAGCAAAATGCGTTATGGGGGATTCCGTTCACTTGCCCCCCCCCTCCCAAATATATTTAAGGATAACCAAAAACAATAATGGCGCAAAGATATGTTTTTACGGCGCATTTCAGCGCATACCTGAGAGTACAATTTCGTATGAAAAGATGTTAAAAAAAAGTAACTTTTAAAAACGTTAAGTTGGCTCCCCCACTTTTTGAAAATTTGTCACGGCTTAACCGTAATGGCGCTAGCTTTAATTCAAGTGGCGCAATTGAGCGCATAACCAAATGTATCAGGTGACCTAGTTACAAGGGACAAAATACGTACTGGGGTGGGGGCTACGTTCACTTGGCCCCCCCAAATGTTTTTTTCGGATTTCTAAAAAACGATAATGGCGCAAGAGTTATTATCGGTGGCGCATAGGAGCGCATAACGAGCGCATTCATTTCAAAATAATACGACTATGAAATCTCTCAGTGGGGGGGCCAAGTTAACGGACCCCTCAAGGCCCTAATAGCCTTCTCTCTAACCACCAAGCCACTCATGGAATACCACACAACACTGGAGAAAATAGGTAGACGTAATCGAGTTACGTTAGTGTGGGTGTCAGGGAACGTGAGGGCAGCCGGTAACAGAGAGGCTGACCACTTCGCTAAGGACCGAAACCATACTGTGGAGCATCAGCAAGTCAAGCTGGAGGAGTGATAAAAAATCAGCTCAGAACAGAGTGGAAGAGTCCATGGGATTATGTCCTTGGACTAAGACAATCCAAGAAACTGATTAGTTGCCAGGAGACTAAAACCGGGCCGTTGCTAGCACTCAGAAAAAGTGAACTAAGGTTGTTTGGACGCTGCCTCCTGAAATATCATCTCCAAAAAATGGGAGTAAATTCTCAAGAGGATAACATAGGACGCCTCTGCTTCCAGGAGGAAAAGACAGCGGAACACGTATTCTGCTGGTGTGAGGCTGTATCCTGACAAAGAAAAGAAGACCTGGCCGAGGTTACAATAGTCCCTCAGCACATCAGGGAGCTGCATCCGGAGAGGATCCTAAAATATTTTAACTTTCCATATCTCCCAGACCCCTCGGTGTAGCATCCTTCGAAGTACTTCTTAAGAGAAGACGAAATGATAATTTTTTCACAAAAAAAATGATGAGATTTTTCAAGTCATTAAAAAACTCGATAACCATTGCACCTCCAGTACTCCAAAGGAGCCTTTATACCGTCATAAAATGAGGCCTTGAGGTTCCGAAAAAATGAATCATCCAGGTAACTTGAAAAGTCCCACGGCCGGCGTCAAGGTTGATAAGGTAAACAGGGGCAATTTTCCTGGTATGGCACCCTTTAACTCGAATTACAAATAATATCCGAGACCAAGAAGGTCTCCGAACGGAGGCAACCTTAACAATCCCTGGGCCGTAATTTGCAAATGGCTTCAAACGCTCTGAAGCACGAAAGGTGTTGCCATGCCGAAGCACATGATTCAGTTTAAGATTACGATCCACTTCAAAGCTGATTCTTTGCTGTTATCAGGGGGACTTACACGAGCGTTTCTCAAAATCGAATCTTAAGTAGACTTGCCGATTAGATTACCGATAGTAATGGTATTTAAACTGCAATGTCCGTTTCACAATTTACTTCTTTAGTATAACGAAACCATGGACACCATGTATCTACTTGTTGCCGCCATTTTTGCTTTAAGTATTAATTTTCGTTCTTTTTGTGTTACTCGTACCACTAATTCCATTTTTGTAGGTTTGACAAGCGTCGAATCGAACTTGGAGCCGAGAATTGTTGGAGGAAAAAAGGCTAAGATAAGCGACTTTCCCTTTTTCGTCTCGATCCGTACGTATCCCAACAAATATGTTTGCGGTGGAGCGATTATCGACGATTTTTGGGTTGCAACGGCTGCGCAGTGCGTCAGGGGGTGAGTGGACAGTTGTCAAGGATCCAGTGTGGACAGTCTTTTTTTAGTGTGAGCCCGAACAATCTGTTCGTGGTGGCTGGAGTGGCAGCACTGAACGAAACTGGAGACCGGTACGCCGTCCAAGCCGTCCAAATCCATCCCTGGTTCAATCCGACCATGAAGACAAACGATACCGCCCTATTGAAGCTCACCAGAAAGCTATCCGGTAAAAATATCAAAAAGATAGAGATGACCAAGGAGGCCATTAAAGACGGAAAGGACATGGAGCTCTGCGGACACGGTGCAACCGGATATCCCTTCAAAAACGCCTCCATCAATCTCATGGCCATTGAACTGAAGTCCATTGCCAGTGACCAATGTAGTACGCTCCACAATCGGCCGATAACTAACTACAACCTCTGCACGAAGGGAAAATCTGCCAAAGGCGCGTGTGTCGGTGACGTCGGTAGCCCCTTGATAGTTCGAGGAGGAATTTTCGGAACCACAAAGCTTCACGGAATTGTCTCTTGGGGAACGTCTCCTTGTGCCCAAGGCAAACCCGATGTTTACTCATCGATTGCCGCAATAAGACCATGGATTCGAACCGTGTGTGGATGTTAATTAAACACTTGTAACTACTGTATGCGCAATAAAGCTTTTTTTGCACTAGACGTCATTGTACCTTGGGTGGGATCCTGTTTAGCCTGAGTTGCTTCACCCTCCTCGGTTCCAGATACCACAGTGACAGACCACGTGCTCGGTAGTTTCATCTGCCTCACCCCAGAAACTGCACGTGGGCTCCTCCACAAGCCCAATGTTATCCAGGGGATAGTTGACCATGACCATCCAGTGCCCAGATTTATCAAGGGGCCTTGTTAAAAAGACTTGAAATTGACTGGTCACGCAGTTTTTAATCCTGGCCCCGACAACGGAGGATATCTCCCGCACGGAACCCTCACTTATTGCCCCGGGTCTTTCAAAAGGATCTTACGAAGTTTTTGCACTTCAGGAAGACCCTCCATGTTGCCACAGAAAGTCCTCTATGACCTTCTCCAGACACCCGGTAGTAATTCCAACGATCCTTCGAGGTCGATAACGAGCTCCCTACGTCACAACGTGACGAGCGAGGACCCCCGCGTGCGCTTGGGCCAATGGAGTGCCCGATAGGATGCCACCATATGCGAGGGGGACCCTACCAGGCTCCTTGCTACGGAAGATTCTCCTCCACAAACTCGTCCTGAATCCAAAATTTGGCATCTGGGGGCACTTTATGGTGGTAGTTTTGTCATTCGGGAGCCCATATAACACAACCATCCCTGCAACCACCCCAAGACCTAATAAAAGGGACGGTCCCTTCCAACCAGTCCAAGATCCCCTGGTCCTCGCATTTGGGCAAAATGGCATCCTGCAGATTCCAGCAGGTCGGTCCCCTGAGCCAACGACCTAGACGCAGCTTTAGGCTCTGGCGCAGTAGGAACATTTATGGAACGCAACAATACGGTGACTGCTAAAGGCATGAGGAACTCGGTGTCTTAGACTAATACAATTTCAAAAACAGAAGGAGCAAAGTCCTCGAAAACTGTTGGTGAAATCTGTCAGGTATCACAGATCCTCCAGAACCGTAAGATTTTTCAGATTTTTTAAGATTCTTCGGATTCTTCGGACTCTTCGGACTCTTCAGACTCATCAGATTCCTCAGATTCCTCAGATTCCTCAGAGTCCTCAGATTCCTCAGATTCTTCAGATTCTTCAGATTCTTCAGATTCTTCAGATTCTTCAGATTCTTCAGATTCTTCAGATTCTTCAGATTCTTCAGATTTTTCAGATTTTTCAGATTCTTCAGGTTCTTCAGATTCTTCAGATTCTTCAGATTCTTCAGATTCTTCAGATTCTTCAGATTCTTCAGATTCTTCAGATTCTTCAGATTCTTCAGATTCTTCAGATTCTTTAGATTCTTCAGATTCTTCAGATTCTTCAGATTCTTCAGATTCTTCAGATTCTTCAGATTCTTCAGATTCTTCAGATTCTTCAGATTCTTCAAATTCTTCAGATTCTTCAGATTCTTCAGATTCTTCAGATTCTTCAGATTCTTCAGATTCTTCAGATTCTTCAGATTCTTCAGATTCTTCAGATTCTCAGATTCTTCAGATTCTTCAGATTCTTCAGATTCTTCAGATTCTTCAGATTCTTCAGATTCTTCAGATTCTTCAGATTCTTCAGATTCTTCAAATCCCTCAGATCTCTCAGATCCCTCAGGTTCCTCAGATTCCACAGATTCCTCAGATCCCTCAAATCCTTCAGATCCATCAGATCCCTCTGATCCGTCAGATCCATCAGATCCCTCAGATCACGCAGAACTCTCAGATTTCTCAGATCTCTCACATCCCTCAGATCCGTCAACTCCTTCAGATCTATCAAATCTCTCTGATCCGCCAGATCCGCCAAATCCGTTGGATCCGTCAGATCCCTCAGATCCCTCAGATCCCGCAGAACCCTCCGATTTCTCAGATCCCTCAGACCTCTCAGATCTCTCAGACCCCTCAGATCCCTCAGATCCCTCAGATCCCTCAGATCCTTCAGATCCATCAAATCCCTTTGATCCGTCAGATCCATCAGATGCGTCAGGTCCGTCAGATCTGTCAGGTTTCTCAGATCCCTTAGATCTCAGATCCCTCAGATCTCAGGTCCCTCAGATCTCAGATCCCTCAAATCCGTCAGATCCTTCCGATCGATCAGATCCGTCAGATCCGGCAGATCCGTTAGATCCCTCAGATCCCGCAGAACCCGCAGAACCCTCAGATCCCGCAGATTCCTCAGATCTATCAAATCCCTTTGATTCGTCAGATCCGTCAGATGCGTCAGGTCCGTCAGATCCGTCAGATCCCTCAAATCCTTCAGATCCTACCCATCCATCAGATCCCTCAGGTTCCTCATATCTCATATCCCGAAGACCTCAGATCCCCAAGACCTCAGGTCTCTTAAATCTCTCAGATCCCTCAGATTCCTCAAATCCTTCAGATCCTACCCATCCATCAGATCCCTCTGATCCGTCAGATCCATCAAATCCCTCAGATCCCGCAGAACCGTCAGATCCCTCAGATCCCTCAAATCCTTCAGATCCTTCAGATCCATCAGATCTCTCTTATCCATCAGATCCCTCAGATCCCTCAGGTTCTTTAATCCCTCAGGTTCTTTAGATCCCTCAGATCTCAGATCCCCAAGACCTCAGATCCCTCAGATTGCTCAGATACCTTAAATCTCTCAGATCCCTCAGATTCCTCAGATCCTTCAAATCCTTCAGATGCTTCAGATCTCTCTTATCTCTCAGATCTGTCAGATCCGGCAAAACCCTCAGATTTCTCAGATTCCTCAGGTTCCTCAGATCCCTCAGATGTCTCAGATCCCTCAGATGTCTCAGATCCATCAGATGTCTCAGATCCCTCAGATCTCTCAGATCCCTCAGATCTCTCACACCCATCAGATCCCTCAGATCCATCAGATCCCTTTGATACGTCAGATCCATCAGATCCCTCAGATCCCTCACATCCCTCAGATCCCTCAGAACCCTCCGATTCCTCCGATTCCTCAGATCCCTCAGATTCCCCAGATCCATTCAGATCTCTCAGATCCCTCAGATCCCTCAGATCCCTCAGATCCCTCAGATCCTTCAGGTTCCTCATATCTCATATCCCGAAGACCTCATATCCCGAAGACCTCAGATCCCCAAGACCTCAGATCCCTTAAATCTCTCAGATCCCTTAGATTCCTCAGATCCCTCAAATCCTTCAGATCCTACCCATCCATCAGATCCCTCTGATCCGTCAGATCCATCAAATCCCTCAGATCCCGCAGAACCGTCAAATCCCTCAGATCCCTCAAATCCTTCAGATCCATCAGATCTCTCTTATCCATCAGATCCCTCAGATCCCTCAGGTTCTTTAGATCCCTCAGGTTCTTTAGATCCCTCAGATCTCAGATCCCCAAGACCTCAGATCCCTCAGACTGCTCAGATCCCTTAAATCTCTCAGATCCCTCAGATTCCTCAGATCCCTCAAATCCTTCAGATCCTTCAGATCTCTCTTATCCCTCAGATCTGTCAGATCCGGCAAAACCCTCAGATTTCTCAGATCCCTCAGGTGCCTCAGATCCCTCAGATGTCTCAGATCCCTCGGATGTCTCAGATGTCTCAGATCCATCAGATGTCTCAGATCCCTCAGATCTCTCAGATCCCTCAGATCCCTCAGATCCGTTAGCTCCGTCATATCCATCAGATCCGTCAGATCCTTCAGATCCCTCACATCCCTCAGATGCCTCAGAACCCTCCGATTCCTCCGATTCCTCAGATCCCTCAGATTCCCCAGATCCATTCAGATCTCTCAGATCCCTCAGATCCGCAAGATCCTCCAGAGAACCCTGAAATCCTTCAGATCCCTCAGATCATTCAGTTCCTTCAAATCTGTCCCAAGGAGTCTGCTTGACCAAGACAAGCAGGACAATCGTGACACTTTTGTATTCCGTTTTGTGCTTGTTTGACCCCAAGTCCCAACACTTCAATTTGCTTCTTAGTTCCCAGTTCCAAATGTTCGACATCTCCTCTAGTAGGTGGAGGTTCTTAACTTTTGCTTGCGGACGACTAACCACAACTTTAAAGATCTGGATACTTAAACCGGAAACTCAAACACTTGAAACCCAAAAGCATATCTTGAAATTTGGGGTTTGTGCTTCTAGATGTACCCTTAGACGCCTCTTGGAGTTTTTAGATGCTCTATAACCCTCGAAGTCACCATCTGGAACTTATTTGCTGAGAAAACAGAGCGCCGTTCTGTTGCTCCTGAGACACATAAGCGACACGGCGTCGAAATGCAATGGATTAGGATTTTACTATATTTCAAGTCATTATTTTGGTTCCAAAAAGATCCATACAGGGGACCTTGAATCAAGCATATTGCAGAATTGCAATGGTCCAGTAATGTGGACGGCATCTTCAGATGTATTTAATAAAGGTAAAAAACGGATGGGAGACGCCAAAGCAGAGAAACTAACACTGACCCTTAGATATGAGTTCTGAGCAAATATTATTAAACTAAAATAGGCATGTGTATCTAAAGTACGTTAGACGACAACAATCCCATACAAAGCAAGATACTAGTAATTACCGATAACCCAAGCAGTAGTTTTAGTGGAACCACGTGGTGACCAAACTTGAACGAATATTGCCAGAGTTACTGCCATCTAATTGATTCTATTACGTGGTCGTCACCAAAATGGGGAACACTTTTGTGGTGACAGCCACGTTTAAACCAAGTGGTTGTCAATTTCGCTCAATTCTTAAACCAACCAAAGATGGATGCTTCGATTCAAACCATTGCGCAATAACCTTAATAGTAATTACAACCTTCTCCATCTTGGTCTCTACCAGTAAGCTCTGGAACAGTGCCAATTTCGAAAGCTAACGACGACAAACCAAACCAGTAACCATACTACGGGCTGGTTGACCCATGTTCCCGTTTTTTTTTCTTTAAAATTAGTCTTCCGAATGGAAAAAAGTTTCTTGGAACTAGGAATCATTAATACTGTGGACGAGGATCCCAATTAAAAATTCACAGGAGTTTATTTTGCTATAATACTGGAAGCTTTTGAAACTTTCCAAATTCAAGGGCCTTATAAACTT